AGTGTATTGGGATGCATATCGGCCATCAAGGTATAGATACATGCACGATGAATAACACTGATCCCGGGACAAATTACTTGTCAGTTCACTATCGACTTTCCCATCGAATCATCAACGAGTGAAATTCATTACCTCAACACCTGATTAAGACTCTATCTGTCGACGCTTTCAAAAGAAATTTAAATCAACTGAGAGACCATAATTGCCAAGACTAACACAGGGCATCTAGCATTCTGTCCTTTTTAAACTGAAACTGATTTTAAAAGATAGAAGAGAAAACTAATTGGTGGAAACCAACAGTCATAAGTTGACGTTCCAGACAAATAGGCATTTAAAGCGTGTTATGAGTGTAAGATAGTTCCCTCTCCCCCGTAATTCAATATAAGTCATTCGTGTTTGGATTAATTGAGGATGCACAATACTCATCTCTTCACATCACAAAATTGATAAAATATACATACTGTAGATTAATTACACTTACCTTGCTGACGAGTGCCAAGTAGCACGAAACCCGGGTCCAGGGTTTCCTGTCGACTATCTCAAACCACCATCTAATCTCACAATAGTGCCCGCAGTGTCGAGTCACCTAGACTGGTGGCCACATTGCAACATGATCGATAGCATTTGATCTGCACTAATAATAAGGACTAGAAACGCATGACATTGGTCACCACCCAGTGATCAATCAATTATGAAAATATTACTCTTGTCGTGGTCCGAATGCTTAATCAACCTGTGCTAATCAGTAACATTACCTACGAGCTATTTACTTCTCTGATAGCCCCCCCCCTCCGTAGGACTAATATATTTACAAGTGTCAAGCTCTGAGTGTTAATCATTATCGTGCTTGTTTAGTTCCTGATAATGATCGACAGAATTCGATCATTGATGTACTTTTGTTGGTCAGTCAGTCAGTCAGCTGCAACGCAGGACCAGGCACGTATATGCATTGGTCCAAGTTTCCATACCGCATTAGCACAACAAGATGAACACCGGATTCATAGAAGTAGTTAATTCAGTGGTAGTAATATATAGAAGAAAGATTGCATATAAGGAGATAGAACAGGAAGAAAGATTTATTACGAAGAAAAAAGATATGAAGCGATTTTAATCTCTTAGTTTAAAGGAAGACAGAGAGTGTATACACCGACGCCATTGTGATCGATTCTGAGCCATGTTACCAAGAGTCACCAACCATTGGTTACGATAGTCACTTGGACCCCAACCAAGCAGTCTGCATCTACCAACATTACTCAGACCAGAAGTTAGTGACTTTGTGGACTGATGCTACGTATTGGTTTGGCCGCCCCTAACTTTCTTCCAATTATCCCTAACACCGGTTAGCATTGCGTGTCGTGGTAATCGGTGTTCAGGCATACGCAGCACGTCGCCTAACCATCTCAGTCTATGAAGGTTCATAACCTCATCACCTGATTTACCATCATTCCTTAATACCCTGCGTCTAACCTCACTATTACTTAGCCGGTGATCCCAGCAGATGCGAGCAATATTTCTAAGGCACCTGTGGTCAAATACTAGTAACTTATGAATATCTTCTACTCTTAAAGGCCATGTATCGCAACCGTATAGTAGAACGGAACGAACTGCCGCGCAGTATACTCGTCCCTTAATTGATAGACGGATATCTCGCCTTCGCCATAGATGACGTAAGTTGGCACAGGCCAAACGAGCTTTTCTAATCCGTGCAGAGGTTTCGTCAGACACCAACCCATTAGGGCTGATCAGACTTCCAAGATAAGTGAAGTTGTCAACGCGTTCGATTATTTCACTCCCTATCCTTAGTCCAGGTGTTGACGCAGACCAGTCCTGAAGCAACAACTTGCATTTAGAGGGAGAGAAGCACATCCCAAACATTCTGGCATTGTTGCTCAGTGCTACCAAAAGACTCTGCATTTCATCAGCGTCTTCACCAAACAGGAGTATGTCATATGCGTATTCTAAGTCGATAAATGGACCTCCTGGTAAGAGATCGATGCGCGAGAATTCAGTCGATGAGAGCGTTATTTCCATCAGTAGATCTATGATGAAGTTAAACAAAAATGGAGAAAGTGGACAACCTTGACGGACACCACTTGAGGTTGCAAAAGCAGATGACAGTTCGCCATAAGCTCTGACTCGACTAGTAGTGTTCGAGTAAAGAGCCTTCACAAGGTTTATGTACTTCTGAGGTACGCCTTTCAATGACAGACACTGCCACAGAACCTCTCGATCCACAGAGTCAAATGTTGCTTTTAAGTCAAGGAAGACCACCATTGTCGGACGCCGATAAGTATGCCTGTGTTCTAGAACCTGACGAATGGTGAATATGTGGTCTATGCAGCCATGACCAGGTCTGAAGCCAGCTTGATTCTCTCGTGTGTGCAGTTCACGAGGCTTAGTTAGGCGTCCGATAATTATCGAGGCTAGTATTTTAGATACTATATTATTCAAACTAATCCCTCTGTGGTTGTCACAGGATGATTTTGACCCTTTCTTAAGTATTAGGACGATAAGTGATTGTGACCAGATTTTAGCTAAAATATTAGTCAACCTAGTCGCTAAAATTGGACCACCATCCTTAAAGACCTCTGGAACCATCCATCTGGACCAGCTGCCCTTCCTCGTTTCAGATTAGCTATAGCGTTTTGAACTTCAGCTAGATTTGGAGGACCTACTTCAATGTTCCATTCATACTGTCTGGGAATGGTGGGTAGTTGTAGAGTAGCTGAAGGCCAACTGAACTGCTCCTTAAAGTGTTCCGCCCATCGTTCTAAACGTCTGGACTGGGAGCAGATGAGAGTATCGTTTTATTCCGAAATAGTCTGACTAACACTTGACTTATTAATTCCAGTTTCTTTTATTAGTCTGTAGAGTTGTGTTACCTATAGCCGCCGCCTTTTCCATCTCTTTTGCTTTCGTTGCCCACCACTGCTCACGATTATTCCTTAGACTTTTGGTTAACCTAGATCTGATCTCTTTACGCTCATCATCATGTTCAGAGCCTGATGGGATGAATTTACGCGAATCCATCAGTGCAATAGACCTTGAAGAAATCCATTGGTTCTTTGTAACCCTTTGGTTTAAATCACTAATAGATGTCACTGCGATTTCCACAGCTGATTGTATATCTTTTCAAGCAACATCTGGGTCAACCTCGTTTTCGGAACTACCTAAGAGTGACCTCAGTTGTTACTGGAACCTACGTTTGCTTTTCTCGTTACTCAATTCAGCTCTAATGGGTCTTTTTAGTGTGGCGTTTTTGTGTCCAGTGAGGCACAAGCAGATGCGTGCCTGTATAAGACTATGATCGGAGTCCAAACAGGTATTCTAGAATGGGCGACAATCGTCTATCGACCCTCTCCAACGATGACTGATGGCAACATGGTCTGTTTGAGTCCACCGTTGATTTGTTGCAGGGGGTCGCCATGTTAGACGGTGTCTCTCTCCTCATGCTTAAAATTTGCGTTTGCTAAAAATAAACGGTTGTCTGGGCACAGTTGCAGCAGACGATCACCATCATCTGATCGCTGAGCCGGAATACAAAAATACCCACCTAAACGTCATTCTGTTTCGTTTAAGCTACCTACCTGGGCATTAAAGTCACCTGCCATGAGTACTATGTCTGAACGTTTAGCTTTCTGTAAAATTCATCTTTCACTTCATCCGAACTGCAGTCAGTGGGAGCGTAGGCAGAAACGACGAAAAGGCAACGACGTGTGTCCCTATCCTTTCGAGTTCTTACGGAGCCGTTTAGCCGAACAGCGCATAGACGACTGTTAACGGGGATCCACTCTAATAGCGCTCGTTCCGCCCTCATGCTTAGTGCTATGCCTACACCTGCCAGTCCACGAGAACTAGCCATCGAGTCGCCAGATACACGGAGGGTGTATAACGTCGGCTCTCCGTTTTGCCGAGGTGAGTTCAAGTGAATGACCATGCTAGGATCCTGTATGCGTGTTTCAGAGACACAGCATACATCAATGGTACGAGATTCTAAGGTTTTAGCCAAGGAAGCCTGCTGACCGATTTGGCATAGTGTGCGTACGTTGAAGACTCCAATGTGTAGTTTGGAGCGACGTTTCAGTAGACCTAGGACAGTGTTTTGCGCACTAGAATCGTTGGCTGTGGTGACACTTGAGGAGGAAGCGGAAAGAGGGAGTTTAGATTTGAAAGTCGATGTAGGAGGAATAATAGGAATTGAGGGAGGGAGGTTGATTATGAATACACCTTACTGCTGTCACACCTCTGTACGACTTCGCCTTCGGACCTTGGTTTTGTTGCTTTTAGTCTTACCGCTCTTCAACCGACCTGTCTGGCATGGTAGGGCCTTGAGGAACGGTTGTTCCAGCCAGTATAGCTCAGTTGCTTCATCACGATAGGCAAGCCCGACCACCACGTCAAGGTAGCAAAAACGATCAGGACTTTTGTTGGTAGTCGGGACAAACCTTGGCATTGGTTATAAATATTATTAATCGAAAATAATGATGAGAATTAGTCTCCAGTTTTGATGCATTCACTAACGTAATGTAAGGTAATCGCATGGTAACAATTCGCCTTCTATTTTACTGAGTAAATAAGAATGTCCCCAAAATTACATGGTAGTTACTTACTGACTTTCATAAGAGGCAAATTTACCATATTAAGTCTCACTGTCAATCACTTTCACTCATAACACAGATGCACTCGTTCATCATATACTTTATTCAGTCATTCTTATTACAATTAGCTGCTTAAATACAATACCTCGGTAGCTGATGACATCACTTACCATCATCGACTCAGTAGTTTTATTGAGAAGTTCTTGTCTCACGTACGATTATTTAATGTTTTATGAATTTTTAAAGCAGATGACTTCAACTTCTCTAATTTATTCCAACAAAAAGATTACAGTTTGTGCTTTGTGTGCGGGATTGTTTACTACGTTTTGAGGTTTTTCGGAATTTCAATCTCAGCAAATATTTCTTGCTCTTTTATTTTTTGTGTCGATTTTCGATACTTAGTTTGTGTTTTTAGTGCTGTATACAATAGTGGTCAATTGACAAACTTACACGATGATTTCTTCTCGTTTTGGGATATGCCAGTCAGCTATTACAAGATGTCTGAAACAGCATGCTTCGGCGTATCACAAGAATGTCATAGATCATTATGAGAACCCTCGTAATGTAGGCTCATTCGATAAGAAAGACATGTCTGTCGGTACTGGTTTGGTTGGTGCACCGGCCTGCGGAGATGTTATGAAGCTCCAAATAAAGGTAAGGCATCCATTCTAGATAAAACTATTTTTTAAGTATGTATTTATAGGTTATTACATGAACGATAATATGCCACTTACATGTCTTCCTGTGTTCTGTAGACGTAGTTTTTCCTAAATCACAACTAAGGTAATTCAGTCAGAAATTATCGTCCAAAATTCACCAGTTTTAGGTATTTGCTAAGTAGCTTTGATTTTATTATAATGATAATGATCACTTTCAAATTTATACTTCTTCAAATAAGACTTACTACATAAGTATGACTTACGTCACCGAGATGTTCTATGCTTTTTGATGTAGTGTGGAATAGTTCTTCAGAGTACTTGTCTCCATTGGTATCCTTTTTAAATAATTCATAATAATTCCTAACGATCCCAACATTGCTGATCCTTTTGTCAGACTTTGTAAAAACAGGGAAGTAGGAATATGTAAAAGTTAGAAGGTTGGCTATCGAATGAAAAGACAAAGGCAGAGATTCATTTCTATCTCAGTGTTAATTTTTGCAAACTTGTGTGGAGTTAATTTTCAGCAACGAAGAGCAGGTACTGTTATAGATTTATTTTTCAAGTTTAAACCGTTGTCTGGACAAAATTAGAAATTTCAAAACTCACATTGTTAATCTAATAACTATTTATTATATTTCCGTGAAATGCCAGGCATTTTGACTATTCTCTCTTTTTTAATCTCGTTTTCACACGTAAAAATCTATTCTTGGTGCATTTCTTTTGATTTCAGGTAGACGAAAATGGGAAAATAATAGATGCAAAATTTAAAACATTTGGTTGTGGTTCCGCAATTGCATCCAGTTCACTGGCAACTGAATGGGTTAAAGGCAAAACAATTGATGAAGCTTCAAAAATAAAAAATAGTGATATTGCCAAAGAACTAAAACTTCCACCCGTCAAATTGCACTGTTCTAGTAAGTCAGCACTAATTAACTTTACGTCCAGTATTTGTTAATCTATTCTAAATGTTTACAGAACATAGAAATAAGTAGCACAACCTAAGTAAATTTTATGAATGCAAGTACTTGAATTGTTAGCTCGAATCTCTATAGCTTGTGGTATGTGTAAAAAGTGAGGACAGAGTAAACTTTGCATCACTTTGGGTTTATCATAACAATACTTGTTCTTTGAAGTTAAATTTCTATCTTTCCATTCTAAGAAAATTCAAAAATGGTACATTATCGCTAAATTATCAAAAAATGTTTCTATTGTTCAAGGCTAATTAAGTTTCAAAGTTGATGAAATCTTCATTACTCACTAAATTCGAGTTCTGTAAATCTTCATCAACTTAGGTAGCTTTGATTTATTAAAAAGATGTCTATTGGCCGTCTATTTCAACGCATAATGTTGATTGGGATATGAGTAGCTTTAGAAGATTGAAAACTGACAAACCAAAACTTGGCATCAGTTTATGAAACAATCGATTGCCTATTTGATCAGTGTAGGGTAGCTGTAAGCTATAGTTCAAGTTGACATGGTTGAAAAGCGATCTTGGTAGTTCATATATATATTGTCTACATATTCTTACTTCGCTATATTTTTAAAATTGTCCTTGGTTCGAGTTTTTTCTGTTATTTTTGTGTTTGACATTTAGTGCTTGCTGAAGATGCTATCCAGGCCGCTATTAAAGATTACAAGAAAAAGTCTACTTGAGTATTACTTTATATACACACATCAATCCCAATCATATTCAACGTCATAATTTCTCATTTCACTTGGATAGATATTATTGTAAATCATAAGCACTATATTGAAAGTAATTTTGTTATCTAACAAATTTAACTATTGATACAGCGATGCTCTCATAAAAATAAAATTTATTTTCATCTACTAAAGAAGTGTTCTTGTTCATAAATTTCATGTTAGACTGTCTGTAGTTGTTTGTTTATTTTTGGTATTTTCGTCTTATATACAACTCTATAGTATTACTATATTACGTGTTTCTATAGTGTTAGTCATTTATCAATAGAGCATATTAAAAGCATTGGGAAAAGTCTTTATGTTGTATTGTTCAATGCTGCATGCAGTGGACGAAATATTGCTTAGTAATCTCTAAAATATTCTAGTTTACCCTGGGATTGTTTTTGACGTTGGTATTCAATGTTAGTTCGTTGATAAACTTAGTAGAGATTTTGACTAAACTGGTACTGAAAAATTTGCCTTTAAGGTTGAAAAGCAATAAATATGTATCAGTCTAAGAGCTTATCATATAAATAGTGGTAATTGGTCCCAAAATACAGTTTTTAGTGGCTGGTTGTCATTTATGCTTCTACTAGATGGTTGCATTTTTCCCTTTGCAAATTTGCCTACTAACAAGTAATCATTTTTAAAAGCATTTAAAAGAAGTCGTATTATTGCAGTAGAAATCACGTTTTACTTAGATTTTACATTTTATCTCATATCGTCCCTGAATCACTGCGATGTAGTCATCCGAACCCTTAGGATCAAAGTTTTTTTATTTCAATAAGTTATAAATGAAAATGGAAGTAATGTCAACCATCTACTGGTTCATCGAAGCTAGAACACTTCAGTTATTTTTAGGCAGGGGATTTAAACATTCAAGCCAAATGTACTAACGTTTCTATTCTGTAGTAACTTTAAGTTACTTATTAATAGTATTGCTCACTGTAAAATTATTAAGGTAGAAGGTTTGTGAAATTTTGCAATTCGCAGTTAGCTTCCGTCACTAACTGATGTCAGTTAGCGAATCACTTAGAACATAGGGTACACGAAGTAGCTACCTTATTAGAGCTGTTTACCAGCAGTACACACCTATAACTAGATCAGGGCTATAATCCAGGGCATTTAAGTTCTCACTTTGGTAGGGATTTTTGAACTTTTGATGATAAATCATGACTGTCGTACATTATCACTAATCAACCGGAATCATAATTGTGGAACGATCGTTTATTATTGACTGGTTAACAAGTACTGTGTTCTCTGCTCTCTCTCTCCTGAATCTTGTCCTTGGAAGGCTATGATTTCCTTACTTCTGGAAATTTCCAGACTTGAATAAAACGATTGTTTATTGTTCTCTGAGCGGTAGTGCAGTGGTTGAGGAGTTTCGAAGTCCGTCCCACTTTGGTTTGGACAACTAGTTAGTATCACTAGCCAGATATACAAAACTGTACCTGGCAAATGAATCACTTAGTCACTGCAAAATTATCGAGTAAACCAAATGCATAATATCCTAATTATGTTCAATACTTTGTAATGTTTTCGATGATTTTGTTGAAATACTTTTATTCACCTTTAGAAATTGATCTTTTAAAGAGTAAATAGAGAATAAAATTTTGCTGCATTAGATTCATTCTGTTGTTTGTATCGCCTGTTTATATCACAAACGATAGTAAGTAACATATTTCTGGCTGAACTCCACAGGACGCTTATTATTTTACAAGATTGTTGGAGATTTTATTGTCGTTTACCTCTACTATTCTTCATTCTTTTATGTCAGTTCAGAATCTACGAATTTACTTTTAAACGACATGACTTTTAAAACTAGATTTTATCTAAATACTATATTCACCTTCCACAATTTGTTTGAGGTAAGTTATTTATAAATTCAGATCTATATCTTCTCGTTTTCTCCATCTTAGTTTCCCGTTTTATAGTTCTGTGTTCGTTTTTCATTGGTCCAATAGACAAAAACATGGTTTCTACCGATTAAAATAAAGTAAAATGTTGTGGTTGTAGTTATACCCAAAAGGAGAGTCGAAGGTTGCTGATATATGTATATTTACAATTTTAGGTTTTTAAACTATTTCCCCCAATCTTGTATTTATTTATTTATTTATTTAAACACTTAAATATTGGTGCAAAGTGGCACCAAAATATATATGCACCACACTAAATTTGCATGGGGGCTGGAATACTGGCCAGGTGTTCAAACCGAAACAAGTGGTTTTCTTGGAAGTCCACCCCCAAGCCTGATCTCGAGCCTTAGTCCGCGAAGCGGTGGAGCAACGGTAGGCTATACGACCTCATGGAAATAAGTGGTGACGAGGAATAGGTTAATATTTCTTTGGTCGCTTAGGATCCTGTAGCCTATGTGGAGCATTGATTTGGAACCAGGGTTTTCCAACTTTTCTTGGTGAGTATTCCGTACCCACTAACCCGGTTCAATCACTGGACATTTGCTTTTTGTTCTCTTAATTTTGTAAAAAAGACCTGTGCCTTGGGTAGGGAGTGAGCAGGACCTCTTTGTTAGTGGTTATATATACTTATCCATATGAAACTCATCTACATTCCAGGGTATACGGGGATTTGAATCTTTCAGCGATATTCTTGTTTAAAAATTAACCCTGTTAATCTAATTTTAGCTCATTAATACAACTCTTATTGTTCTTAGATGTTTTTATAGTATCTGAAATATGAATGGAATTCTAATTTCACTTGTTAACTCGAATTTAAAAAAAACTTCCTACGACATACTACCTTCTATTAATACTGATTAATTAATATTGTAAGATTTGGAACAAAATTATTCAATGAAACTGCTCTTTTTTCATTTCTGTGCTGATGGAGTTTTGTTCTCTGAGCTGAAATGGGTTCATCCATCTCAGCTCAGAGAACAAAACTTCATTAAAATCATCCACCTGAGCTACAAATCTCCACCATCTCATTTCTGTGTTTTATTTTTATTTTCTGCGAAAATCTACAATTATATTGTAATTATATGTATATTGTTCATGTTATGTTCATTGAACAAGATGATTTATACAACACAACATCTATAACATCATAATCTTGAATCACAAATATTCGTTCTCATCTCAAAATCTTAATAATAATGATTTATTTACTAATATTAATAATCTTGTAAGAATATTAGAATAGATCAAAACTATTTTATCTATTGTATCACCAATAAAATGTCAACAACGAAAGAGTTTATTATAAAATTATGGAGAAGATTTGCAGCTCAGATGGATGATTTTGATGGAGTTTTGTTCTCTGAGCTGGATGGTTTTGTCGTGTATTCCGGAAGTTCTAAGTGATGACTAGTGCTGCGAATAATTCCAGTTTTGAAGCGTCGCATATATTGTAGTTTATTCCCTTTCGGAATAGGTGTTCTTCTATATTTGTTAGTGGTTGTTTTGACAGGTTGACCACGCAGTTGTTTGTGTTTTCTTCCATGAGTGGTTCTGAGATATTGATTAGTTTCTTCTTTAGGATGTTTCTTCTCTGTTATCTGTGTCGTTTGCATGATATCTCGAAGGCTGTTGTCAAGATATTTAAATGTTCTGACGTGAGTGTCCTTTGCAGCTTCATCTTTTGGTCCTCTATGACGTGTTGGTGTTTGTGGATCCTGTAATGTGCATCCGTCATCACTAGTTGTATCATTTTTCTCCCACTACTTTGCTCAGTTATTCTCCATCCCAATGGGCATTTGATTAAAGGTCTGTATCTTACATTTGTTGGTAGCACATGCTGGCGAAGACCAAACCATCCAGCTCAGAGAACAAAACTCCATCAGAATTTTATTATAAAGTAAATAAAACAAGTTAGAATATTTTGGAAATTCGATAGAGAGATTAATAATGTTTATATTTAATAGATTGTGTTAATATCATGTATTGAAATACAATCCTCAAGTATATATAATAATCAATATTTGAAATAGTATAGTTACAAAAGTTTCAATAATGAAAATGAGACTATTTTGTATAATTATATAAAGTATAATTCTTTTTACTGTCGTTTGTAATGATTCTAATCGATGTCCAATTTTCTGTATTAAATATTTGTTATTCAATGTTAGTTTTCATTATGAACTAGAATAAATTAAATAAACATTAAAAATTCGAGGGAAGGATTAGATAATTGTTTTAATTTCAACAGTTGAAATCATGAGTCGATTCAAGCTAACCACCATGGAAAACCAGGAAGCACTGGACGGCTGTTTCGTCCTAGTATGGGACTCCTCAGCAGTGCGCATCGTTTTAATACTTATTTAAAATTATTTGATAGTGTATAACCAAGACTGTTTTATAGAATTAAACCATAGTTCAAAAATGAGCTGAATAATTTAAGACTGTTGACTTTGGATGTTGTGAATTTCACTTGCAACCAGGAATTTGGTTTCTTTTTTTCACAGTAATTATATGCAAACGTCATTATTAACGCAAATTTTATCAAACAAGAAAATTTTTGATATACTGTACTTGTATACGTAGTATTCTTTAAACATACTATACACACAGTTGCTTTTATGATAAGTTTCTTGTCTGTACCATTTGGTGACCACAAATAAAAAATATTCTCCATGCTGTGCACTTTCATTGAGATGTTTGAGTAAATGCAGTTATATCGTTATTTGTAGTTCTATATGTGAATGGAATTAAATATTGAGCGGTCGTCTTTTAGTTTCAATCTTTACTGTCTATTTTAATTTGAGTATTGCTAATCTTTTATCCAGTTGATTGATTTATCGAATGTGATCCATTTTTGATTTTTTCACGAGTAGGATGGAATCTGAGCAATCATGAACTCTTGAGGACTATTTGTTCTACTTTTCATATCTTTGGTAAACTTCTTATAGACTTCTGTTTTGAGATTAGATCTATAGATTGAATTGTATTATATGTTTTCATTTATTTGGCCTTGTGTAAATCCACATGTTATTACTCAACCTGTTGTTATCAAGTTGAACTAAGTAGTAATTTGGCGGAAAATAAAGTACATATACAATATATGTTTTATATCAGACTCAGATGTATCTTGATTATTACATTAAGATGTTTCTTTGTTCATGAATATGTCCAGAAAAAAGCATCTATATTTTAAAGGTTAAATAAATATTAAAATGATTTCTTTTTTTTCAATTATTTT